GCAATTATACTACAATCCTCATTTGCAAATACTTTCAAGAGAATTCCTTTCTTTTTTATTTTTATTTTTTCTTTTCTTTTTTTTTTTCTTTTCTTTTGATATCATTATCCATCCAATTATCAGAAATATTACTATTATTATGAATCAGGAATACAATTCCATCATCAATCAATACCAATAAGAACTGCTCATGTATCTACACACTACAGAGTGTTTTTTTGTTGTTTTTATTTTTATTTTTTTCTCTTTTGTTTTGTTTCGTTTTTAAACCACGCATATACGTCTCGATTGCATCCAATAGAAATGAAAATGAAAATGAAAAAAAAACTATTCTTTTTTATCTACTTTTTTTTTTTTTACTCTTTTTCACTATTCCCGCATTTAGAAATGTTAATACCGTAACCAGGTATCAATAATAATGATAATATATAAGCATAATCTTTAAAAAGTGAGAACACCACTTATAGATAATAATTGCCTAAGATATAAGTATCCATCCCATCAGCTATATTTCTCTGTATCCAAAGTAAATAAATCCATTTACTTAAACTACCATTATATATATATATATATATATATATATATACTTATAGTTATAGGGATGAAGTTTCCCTCTCACTTTATTCCTTACTCTTTCTCTTGTGTCTTGTATGTATATGTATATGTATATATGTGTACTTCTCTCTACACCCTATTGTAGTGGACATCATACTTATTTAATACAGATATCTTCTATGTATTCTTTCTTTTTCTTTTTCTTTTGTTTTTTTTTTTTCTTATTTTCGCTTCCTTGTCGGTATATATCCCTTTTCATATTCACACACACACACACATACACACACACCTATATATATATATATATATATATATATATATATATACATTATCACTATTCCATTCCTTCTATATTTCCAACATGTCTCTATCCTTCTCCTTCTGTTTAATCCAGTGCGAGGATGAGATCATCTGGCTCATTCCCATCCCGGGCGAGTTCCTCCTGCGGGTTTGACAGAAGAGCCCCACCGGAGAGCCGCACATCTCGTCCAATCTTCAGTGAGCGGCGATACGCCTGCCAGGCCTCCGACTCCGTAATCCCGCAACTGCCGCCAAGCCAGAGAAACACACGATGGGTGTCGGAGCGACTACTCGCCGCGGGGACGAGAATAACATAACAGCGGCCCGCCTCCATATCCGTCACGTCAATGATATTCGAAAGTGGAGGACCAGTAAAGGGATAGGCGTAGATCTCCACAGCGGTACTATTCGTCGTTGTTGTTGTTGCGTTATTACTATTGTTGGGATTGGCATTGGTATTGGTATTGGTATTCGCAGCCGCAGCCGCAGCAGTAGCCGCTGTGTTATTGGTGCTGGAGTTATTCATAGAAGTAGAGGAAGAAGATTTACGTGCGGCTTCTGTTGTGCCTGTGGATATCGCGGCGGCTGTTGCTAATCCTGTACCAAATGAAACTGATCGTGAAGATAGAGAAGGAACTGCGGCTGCGGCATTATTATTATTATTATTATTATTATTATTATTATTATTATTATTATTATTATTATTAGATCCATGTTGAGATATCCGTGCAGTAGCCACTGTGTGGGTTGTTTTAGATAATCGACGTCTTTCCTCCTCTCGATTACGCTTTCGATTAGAGGAAGCCAATTGAACTCGTTGTTGTTCTGCAAGATGATTGGCAAAAGTAAAGACAATATCATTTCGTGCTAGTAAAGAATCCCAACAATGATCATGTGTTAAAATTGGTTTTGGGACTCGTTTATTAGAAGAGCTTCTACGTGTTCGGGTAAACACACTTTCTTCTATTACTTTACCAAGCTCCTTTACACTTCGTAAACACTCTGTAGACTTTGTTAGTGGTGGAAGTGGTGTAAATGTAATAGATTCCCCTTTATTATTAACACTACACCGTTTTTCTCCATGATAAAAGTTATATTTTAAAAATGCCTCCCAATCTTCCTTTGCTTGTTGTTGAACAAGTGAATCACATTCCTTTCCAGCAAAAAAGTAAGAATGAATGCTGTTAGATTTACCACCACTATTATTACTATTACCACTATTACTATTATTATTATTATTATTATTATTACCACTATTACGTTCTCCTAGTAGAATACCATAACCCAAACGAGGATCCACTATATACGTTTCACTCGTATCACATATTGTTCGCACAAAAGTATTCACAACATGGGCATCATCATCATCATGTGGTTTTTGTGTATGGCGAAAAGCCAAAGCAAGTCGAAATGAAAAGGGAAATATATATTCTGTATAAGGAACATAGGCATAGGCTTTATTTAATACAGGTGTGGTAAGTTGATTTTCCCAAAAGAGAAGATTCACATAAAAACCAGCATTTGGACTGCAAACAGTACGTCTGGCTCGCACAAATTCAAATGCTCGATCATAACATAATCCCTGTTGCCACATTACATAAGCAATCACAAATGAACAGGAACGAGATACACCTTGATGACAGTGAATAAACGTTTTTCCACCAGCCACTCGGGTTTCTTCTACAAAACGTATTACCACTGGAAATAGAGAGAAAATAGGTTCATCCGGAGAATCACTTACATAAAGTCCAAGGTACTGAAACATTTCATCATGTAAATTACCCATGGAGAATGCAACTGTATTAACAATAGAAGTAATACCTTTACGAAGTAATTGTCCACGATCTTTTGCCGCTTCTTCACCTCCAACAAAAAGCCAAGGTAAGACTTCCGTAACTTGTGGAGATGCTGCCTTTAATTTTTGCATACGTTCTTCTGTCATTCGTATTTCATCATTTTCAGCAGGTAATTCCGAAATCGTTCGTCCATTTAAAGTCTCATTCAATCGTAAATTAGAAATGACAGGAAACCTTGGAGATGCGGAAGAAGTATGTGGTGTATGTGAAGAAGCCGCATTCGATACAGATGAATTCCCTTCTCGTTGAGATGCTTGCGGGGTTTGTGTATTTGAACGTCTTGGGGCATTTAATGGTGGTTCCATCGCATATTGTCTTCCTGTATCTAACACAAATCGTAAACGTGGAATTTCTAATACACCTGGCGGTTGAGGAATAAACCCTGAAGATGATGAAATTGCTGTTGTTGTTGTTGTTGTGTTGATAGCCCCTACACCTGGAGGGGAATTACCGGATTGTTGTTGAAGTGATTGTTGTTGTTGTTGTTGTTGTTGTTGTTGTTGTTGATAGAAGGAAAAGGAAAAGGAAGTGGCGGCAGTGGGAGTTCCCATCTTCCCTCGCGGTGTACTTCCGCGAGAAGCGGCATTTCCCCGCGCAGAAGAAGGAGTTACCAACAACGCAGGCAACATTGGTTTACTTCGAAAAGCATATAAAATACGAAGAAGAGAATTCTTTGCATATTCCTCTGTAAGTCTAGGACTACGTCGTGGGGTTTTATCATTATGGACCACATCTCCTACAGGAACACAGACGCCTGTTTCTATTGAGGCATCAAACGCACATCGACGAATATTATAATTAAAAAACAATCGGCGCACCACTTCTTCATTTTCGATAAGTCGACGTTCTACTTTTAATGCATGTAAAACCGCCCCGGAGGCTAACACTTGACTGGCCTTTACACCTGTCAATACATGAACACTATAGCGGAAATCAAATCCATCCACTCCAGCAGCAGAGGTAGAAGTAGAAGTGGGAGAGGATCGTAGAAATAAAGAAGGTTTACCAATATTAGTAGAGAAACTGGTTGCCACTCCTCGTGGGGTAAATACATCTGCAATCACAGATGCCCACGGTGGGGCTTTTTCACCCCAACGACGTGCGGAATCCAAATCTTTTAATGATTTCTCACCACAACGCGGTGTGGATCCATCACTTCGTCCAGTCGTCGAGGCATTTATAGTAGCCGCACTTGTATTCGCAGCTGTTGTATTGGTGTGGGTTGTGGAGTTATTATTATTATTATTATTATTATTATTATTATTGTTGTTGATATGATGGTGAGTGTTTGTAGATAAAGGTATACGTTGGACGTGTATTAGCATATAGACACCTGTATCATCTAGACGTATTTTGGATTGAGATAAATCCACTGGTAATGAATATACCTGCGATGTATCCAAGCGAAAGGCACCACTTCCTCCGGAGCGTTGAAAGAAACTAAAGGCCTTCACGTTATGTTGATATCGTGCAAAATTCTCTATACTCGCTGCTGAGAGCACCTCCTCTACACGACGCTGTGGACTTGCCTGATGTGAGAGGAGAATATCATCCAAAGTGAAGGGAATAACGTCTGTACAGACTGTATTCCCCATTTGTCTGATTCTTTATATATATATAGATTTATTTTTCTTTGTTCTTTGTTGTTGTTCTAGCTGCTACTGCTACTACTACTTCTTTTTCCCTCCTTCAACTAATACAAAGAAAGAAAGAAAGAAAGAAAGAAAAAAAAAAAAAAAAAANNAAAAAAAAAAAAAAAAAAAAAAAAAAGAGAGAGTGTAGATAAAAGAGAAGTAAAGAAAAGAAAAAAGAGGAATAGTTCTATTTACATATATAGAACTTTAAATGTATTTACCACGTAATGGGTAGCTGTTGTTGAAGTATGAACGATATTAATGGTAGTGCGATAGAACGATAAAAAAAAGATAAGGGAATATGAATTACAAAATAAAGTCAATACAAATTTAATTTAATTTTTAAAAGAAAGAAAAGGGAAAAAAAACAGATAGAAACTTTTTTTTTATTTCATCTAGAAAAAAATACTGTATTTTCTTTTACTTTTTGAAAATAAATAAATATATATATATATATATATATATATATAAACTGTAAACAAAAATGAAAAAAAAAAACATACAAATAATACTAGTTTAAATATAGAATAGAACAAGAATAGAGAAAAACAAATAAACGAACTTAACCATATGGGTCTTACTCTTTTTTTCATTTCTTCTTACAGTCACTCGCAAGACTTCTCTCTTCTATCTCCGCTATTCTCCTTCCCCTTCATTATTTTTCTCTTTTGTTTCTTCCTGTTGTTGTTTCTTCTTTTTCTTTTTCTTCTTCGTTATCGTCATTGACTTCTCGTCCACATCTTCACTTTTCTCATCTGACATCATCTTCTTTTTCTTCTTTTTCTTTTTTTTCTTCTCATCTCCCGTTTCTTCTTTTTTCTCTGATGAATGTGTGGGATGTGTTTCCGCAAAGTGTACTCCTCTCGCACTGTTGAAATTCTTCCCATTTTTCTCTGTATTATATAGACGAGGATACATCAGAGAACTTCCACCGGTTTCTGAAATAAAAGCAGAAGCCGCTGCCATTACACTATTTGTTCGCATCTCCTCTTTTTCTTTTTTTTTTATGTGAATATCTTTTCTAAACTCATTCGGATCGACTGTATTCCATGTTGGTTGCTGGGCTTTACGGTTTCTCTCTATATAGAGATTAGATGATGATGGTGTTGGTAGTGTTGTGATTTGCAAAGGAGGAATAGACACACGGCCTTCTAATAAATCACTGAGAGAAGGAAATTCACGTTTCCCATTCTTATTCCTATTTATAGTATCTTCACTTTCCCAGTCATTATTATTATTATTATTATTATTATTATTATTATTATTATTATTATTATTATTATTATTATTATTATCTTTCGCCGTAAAGGTAAGAAGAGAATTCATATCTTGCATAAAAATAGAAGCCCGTTGTTCAGATCGAGATAAACGTGAATGATCTACACAAAGTGGATCCCCCTCCAATAAGAGAGAAGGCATAGAGTTTATTATTGTTTGTTTAGATATATTTCCTGGTAATTCATTAGGTGAACTGTATGTAAGCGGTTTAACTTCTCCATGTAAAGATGTGGGATGTAAATGATAAACACTTCTGCTTGTTGTTGTTGTTGTTTGAACTCCAAAGGATCGTCGATCATTACTCTCTGCTGGTGTGTAATCAGATATTGTCTGGTGAATTGTATTTCCTAATGGTATCATCTTATCTATTCCAATATCTTCTAATGATTCTCTTGCTGTAATGGAGAGAAGAGGATCTCTTGTATCTTTATAAACCCCAGCCGGTATATAAAGCGTACATGGTTGTGAAGTTGTATACTCCTCTAGTAGAGAAGAAAGTGACTGGGAACGTTGTTTATATGAATCTTCTCTTCTTCTTTCTTCTTCTTCTTCTCTTTCTTCTTTTTCTTCTAGTTGTGTTGTTGTTAATAATAATAAATCGTTGGCTCTGTGTTCATCCACGTGATAACGTTCACGGAGATGTGAGAGTCTCGCAGATGATTCACTCTCTTGAAGTGCAAAGGAGATGGAAGCCCCACGTTGAGAGTTTTCTTCTCTTTCTTCTCTTTCTTCTTCCCTTTCTCTCTCTCTGTTTGTTTAGATGTTAAGATTCCTCTTTCTTTCTTATTGATATGCAATGGGGTGTATGGTGATGAACTCCTCCTCTTTTCGCCTTGTAGACTATAGATCTCATCCGCATGGAAATGATTATTATAGTGATAATGATTATTATTGTTATTATTATTATTATTATTATTATTATTATTATTATTATTATTGGATAGATAGTGTTGTTGTTGTGGTGGTGGTGGTGGTGTATGCCATTTCTCTTTATTTGTGTAGAGAGAAGAAGTGAAATACATCTAAGTAATAAAGTAAAAAATAAAGTAAAAAATAAAAAATAAAAAGAGAGTGAGGAGAGAAACCCACTTTTTTTTTCCTTCTTTTCTTCTTATGAGTCTTAATAGAAATAGTAGAGAAAAGGAGAAAAAAAAA